GAACCAGTCTGTTGTTCCATGTCCAGTTCTAACTGTTGCTTCCTGACCTGCATACAGGTTTCTCAAGAGGCAGGTCAGGTGGTCTGGTATTCCCATCTCTTTTAGAATTTTCCACAGTACAATAAGGGATAGATAACCATCAAGTAAACCAATGAATGAGGTAATTTCACAAGATGAGTGAAGACTGTTATGAAGAAAATGGAACACTGTGATATAGAGGGAAGCTCCTTTAGAATCAGCAGGTTTAGCAATCCCTTTGGCGGATGACATTGAGCTGAGAGGCTGCAGGATGCCCTGCAAACACACGAGCTTTTGAAACCTGACCAGCTCAGGTTCCCGCTTTTTCTCACTGCCTTGCCACCAGGCCTACAATTCCTTCTGTCAGAATTACCTTTCGTTTTTTCTCCAAACTGTCCCAGTTAAAAGCAAACGTTACCATTCATCACTATGCAAAGAGTCATTCTTCAGCTACACAATCAAGGGAAGACAGATTTCCCGGAGAAGAAGGAAGAAGACATGGAGTATTGTGGGTGGTTGAGAGATGCAAGGTACCCGGGAATTCTCCAGTCCATGCTTACAAGATTTGGGGGCAAAGGCAGCCCTTGAATGCTGTGCTGAGTTCTGTATGACTGTATTTAGGCTTCATCCATTTTGTAGCTTCCTTAAGAAATTTTGTCAACTGATAGGATCTTACATTTGATACAAAAATGTATCCAATTATCTGTCCTCCTCAGGTATCCTGAGTTAGGAAAAGACACAGCACACTGTGAGTGGTAGTACAATGGCAAAGCTTTACTCTGGCATTTCCAGCTCTCCAAAATTACCACTGCATCTCAGAAGTACCAGCCACTGAGTAGCACTTCCCCAGTCAAACATTGTGGCTCAACTATAAAATACTATGGAATGTATTCATGAATGAAGTGAGGTGTTCTTTGTTTTTTTTTTGGCCGTGGCCTGTGGCTTGCTGGTCTTAGTTCCCAGACCATTGAACATGGGCCCCAGTAGTGACTGGATGACTGGAAATGCCAGGAAATTCCCTCATGAAGGAGGTGAGTTAATAGACAAAATCAGTAAAAAGAAATGAATAAGGAAGCTATAGCATAGAACAATGATGGGGAATTCCTTATCAATGAATAAATCTCGGCGTCCATGTATTACCTTCGAGGTCTTCTTAAGTCAGATGTTCACCATTCTAAAGGAGCTCCTTGGCGGTCCAGTGGTTAGGACTTGGTGCTTTCACTGTCAAGGGCCAGGTTTGATTTCTGGTTGGGGAACTAAGATCCCACAAGCCACATGGCACTGCCAAAAAAAAGTAATGAAGTTCACAAATATTTTGGTGGTCCCTATTATATCAATCAAAGTTCCTCTGGGAGGAATTGAAATCACAAATAAATTATGGCCCTGGCCCTTAAGAACCTTAAAATCCTAATGGGAATGAAAGCCTAAGGAGGAAAGGCTAGGCAGACACTTTCTAACTATAAAATAAGGCAGATAGATATCAGAACTATTATAGAGAGTAAAGTATCATGAAATTACAGGAATAAGATCACTCCAGTAGAAGAGTCCTCAGATGCCATCCAGAGGAGCCTGCAACCTGGCCAAGATGAGACCTTCAGTGATGAGAGGGCATGGTGTTCCAGACGCAGAGAAAAAAGTGATCAAAGACGCCAAAATGAAAAATGGCGACACTGTGGATCACAGAGTAGATTGGTATGATCAGGGCACAAGGCAAGTAGTGGGTGGGGGGCAGGACTTAGAAATAGAATGAAAGAAACACGGGCTGGGACCAGAGTTGAAGAACTTTGCTAAACTCTGTTTAGCAACTGAATGTTTCTGAGTAGGGGCAACTGGCCAAGGGGTAAAGAATGGATTGAAAAGGCAGGAGTGTGCATTAACACCAGTTTATATGAATACTATCATGGCCAAGTCTTTGGGAATATAGTTCAGACTTGGGGATTAGAGAATTTTGGGTGATAGAATGGACAATGAAGCGCTGAAAATGATTCTGCTTTTTCAGGTCTAGGTGACTGAGAGACTGTGAATACCAGTCATCAAGCAGAAGCAGGTTTGGGATGCATAGCTCTCGTTTTAGACATACTGTTGACTTGCCAAAATTACTATGACATATCCTATTTCCTGATTCTTCCCGGGACTGTTCAACAGGTATCACCATGACTAATGCACCATATTGGAACCACCCCTGGGGATAAAGTGCCAGAGACACCATTTACACGTGACACATAATGCTCTCAGGGTTAGTAACTGGGGAGCTGATCTGAGAGACTGGCTGCTCAAGGATTCAAATTACCTTCATTGCAAAATGCTGCCTGAGATCCCACAGGATACCTTAGCCCAAGTATATGCGTGCGTGTGTGCATGCTTAGTCAGTCAGTCGTTTGTGACTCTTTGTGATCTCATGGACTGTAGCCCACCAGGCTCCTCTGTCCATGGAATTTTCTAGGCAAGAATATTGGAGTGAGTTACCATTTCCTACTCCAGGGGATCTCTAAAATAAATATGAATACAATCCAGAGAGTTTATCATTAATAAATGAAACAAATACAATAGTATGATTACTGCAAATGATTCTATATGAAAATACCATGAAGTTATAGTTCACAGAAAATGGAAACAATGATTGACCTTACCCCTATTATGTGAAAAATGTACCCCCAAAAATGCAGAGATCAATGTATGTAAGAATGGCAAAGATCTACAAGTAGGACAGTACCATGAGTTAATAAAATAGAGTAACAGACATATCATGCATTTGTGGTTGGAGGGCAGTGTGGAAAAATGTATCAGAATTACAAAGTATGTAACTTTTAACAGCAATCAACTTGGAGAAATTTGTTACAGAAATACATGAGAAATGACTATATATTAAATTATTCACTTCAGCAGTTTGTTGTTCAGTTATTCAGTAGTGTCTGACTCTTTGTGACCCCATGGACCACAGCATGCCAGGCCTCCCTGTCCTTCAACATCTCTCGGAGCTTGCTCAAGCTCATGCCCATCAAGTCAGTGATGCCATCCAGCCATCTCATCCTCTGTCGTTCCCTTCTCCTCCTGCCTTCAATCTTTCCCAGCATCAGGGTCTTTCCCAATGAGTTGCCTCTTCACATCAGGTGGCCAGAGTACTGGAGCTCAGCTTCAGCATCAGTCCTTCCAATGAATATTCAGGGTTGCTTTCCTTTAGGATGGACTGTTTTGATCTCCTTGCAGTCCAAGGGACTCTCAAGAGTCTTCTCCAACACCACAGTTCAAAAGCATCAATTCTTTGGCATTCGGCCTCTTTTATGGTCCAACTCTCACATCCATACATGACTACTGGAAAAACCATAGCTTTGGCTATATGGACCTGCCAGCAAAGCAATGTCTCTGCTTTTTAATACACTGTCTAGGTATTAGATTGTCTTCCAAGGAGCTTCCAAGAAGCAAGCATCTTTGGTTTCATGGCTTCTGTCACAATCCTCGGTG